CAGTATTCAAAAGTATAGTCTATATCTATTATGGGTTTAAGGTAGGCACAGTCCTACTTTATACTATGAAAGTATTTTAATAATAATGTTCGCTGCATCCACCTATGAGTCTACCCAAACCTTCTAAGGAAGGACATCAACACTGAATAGTAACAAAAGCATAAGTCCTGGCTTTAATACTTAGCTATTGCCTGGGTAAATCACACTCCTTCTTCTACCTTGTCTCTTTACTGTGAAATAGGGTTAACAATACTCTTCATATCTCACACAATTTTTGAGAAAGTCACATGACATGACATTTGTGAAAGCAATTTATAATCAAGGAAAAAATCTTACCCTAAGAAACTGGGTCATGATAGTGCATTAAGCAAGGTTGTGGGGTAATCAGTCATTTGTAATGGGATTCATGTGTTATTGGATATCCAGGGGAAACCTCTTTACTATCAAGTATTTGGGAGGAGGTTTAGGGTGAAAAGGGTAGTGGAGGGAGGAAATACATGTTATTTCTAGGTCAGAAGCCATTTCCAGATACAAAAAATAAGCCAGTGTTTCATTATCCTAAACACTGGCTTTTGGTTAATTTTTAGTTGAAAGTCAGTGAATAGGAAAGAGATAAAATCTGCTATCCACTTTTCATTAACATCTTCATAAATCTGCCTTCCATAATTTTATCTTTCTCTAAGGCACCAATGAAACTATTGTCAGAGTATATTATTTTTCCCCAACAATGTCAGAGTGGGTCTACAGGCAAAGTAGAAAAGTCTCAAGAAAAGTAGTTTAAAATCCATAAAAGATGCAAGGCAGCTGGTGAAACAGTTCTCATCTGCAAATTACAAAGACTTGGACTAAAAATTCTGCCCTCTGACTAACTTTCCAGAGATAGAAAACCTTATAGACTCTTAATACACTAAAAAGACAAGGAGCATAAGCAATGAACAGACCAAAAGTGGGAAGCAAAGAAAACAGGAGAAAGTGAAGGGGGTGGGGACCTGCTGCTGATCCAAATCATTTAGAAATGGAAACCAGAATAAGAATAAGAAAGAACTAAAATACGAAAGTATTAATTTATTCTTATGACATTGTATTATTTCCTTGAGGAAGAAAATTTGATCCAGATTATTCCTACTCCCCATCTTGTATTCTGTTCTCTTTTTAGAAATTGTCAAATACTGGCAATGATACCATTTAAAGAAAACAGATTTTCCATTAAAATTAAAGTTAACAGAAGTGTTTTCAATTCCTTAAATTCCCTTGAAAACTAAGAATGATGGATAGAACCAGCCTCACTCACACAGTCTGACTCCTGAGCTCAAATCTGGAACCACTACGCCACACTGCTGCATATTGGCATCCACCGAGGAACGTGGATTCATGAGAATGAAATTAACCAGAATGTTGAAAACTACTAAACACAACAGTCATAAGTTAGAATTCATTTCACTCTTTTCCATTTACTTTTATTTTCCTCAGAATGTATTTCTCCATAGTTAATAAGATAGGATGAGGCAATGAGAAGGGAAAAAAAGCTCCATTGACAGAGCTGAAGTTAGGAAACCTGCACTTAGCACCAGTGCTGCCACTAACTAGCTATGTGGCTTTGGACAAGTCTTTAAATATGTATTCCAAGCCTTAAGAAAGAAAAAATCTAATTTTTCCTACATAAAAATTCATAAGGGAGTCAGGTTAATAGTATTATTAATCACCAGAACTGGTAATTATTATTATTAAAGAATTAACTGCAAATAACAGTCATGTTTTAATTTCTCTTATACTGTCCTGAACAGCTTTAAAAACCTATTCTAAGACAGTTTAAAAATAGTTTCCTTTGTTTCCTGGGACTTTTCCTGTAGATAAGAGTAAAATTGTCAGCATTTCCCCTGTGACTCTTCATTACTCTGCATCTTCCTGAAGGTGAACCACATTAAACAAACTCTAGAGAGGCCCCATTTGGAAGATATGGTAATTAGCAAACACTGCTTAAAGGTTATTCATCTTATATGACAGATGCCTTGACTTTTGTTTTAAAGAAAAATGACTGAAATGAAAACCACATATTTTTGTTATATTTATGTCAAATAAAAATCTAGTTTACAAACGGAAATACTAAATGGTAGCGATTGGTCAGTATGTGATCATATGTTTGAATTTTCACAAGTATTATTCCTTTCTTTCATCCTTACTTTTTTCATAGTAGGAAGTCTGGCTCTTTCAGTCACTTCTTCATCCTGCTACCTGAAATCAAAGAACATGGTGTTATTTTCATGACAAGCTAAAAAGAAAACTCCTTTTCCTAAATTTGCTGGTTGTACATTCAAAGTGGATATTACATTTCCCTTCCATTCAAGATTTACCCTTATAACAATATCTGCTAACATCTATATATGTAGAGCTTTTATAACCATTTAAGTCAACTCAGCTTTAAGGAGTCAGCTCAGTGAAATGTGTCTGTTTAATACTTCTAACTTTCTTCTTTGGGAGTGGGGATGAAGGTAGAAATTTGCCCTCACTTTGTATTTTTTTTTTTTTTTGGTTTTTGGTTAAACATATGCATCAAGAATTAGTCCACAATCAAATGAGTATAAAATTTTAAAACAAAGAGCCACCAACTTTA